AGTCCTCAAACTGACATCTTTTTTTTTTTTTAACACTTTAAAAATGTCTTTTGCAGTAGATTTCTTTGGGTAATATATTGCCCAAGGCAATATACTGTCTGATTTCTTGAGTGCTGCTCTCATGAGCAATGATTGCAGATTCAAGTAAAATAAAATCCTTGACAACTTCAATACTTTCTCCATCTATCATAATGTTGCTTATTGGGTCAGTTGTAAGGATTTTTGTTTATGTTGATGCCTGGAGTGGGAGCTCTGGTGGTGTAGTGCCTAAGGCATTTGACTGCTAATCAGAAGGGTGGAGATTCAAACCCACCAGTCACTACTTGGAAGGATGATTGGGTAATCTACTTCCGGTAGAGATATTGCCTCGGAAACCCAAGGAGGGATCGCTATGAATCAGATCTGATTCAACATCAGTAAGTTTGGTTTTGTTGGTTTTCATGTTGATGTGTAATTCATACTGAAGTCTTTAGACTTTGACCTTCATCAGTGCATGCTTCAAGTCCTCTTTGCTTTCAGCAAGCAAGGTTGTATTATGTGCATATCACAGATTGTTAATGAGTCTTCCTCCAATGCTGATGCCACATTCTTCTTCATACAATCCAGCTTCTTGGATTATTTGCTCAGCATACAGATTGTATTCAATCTGTACAGTGAAAGAATACAACGCTACAAAACAATTTTCCTGATTTTAAACCCTGCAGCGTCCCCTTGTTCTGCCCCTTGGTCATATGTTCCTCATGAGCACAAGTACAAGTGTGTGCTCTGGAATTCCCATTCTTCGTAATGTATCCATAATTTGTTATGAGCCACAGAGTTGAATGCCTTTCCATAGTCAACAAAACACAGCTAAATATTTTTCTGGTATTTTCTGTTTTGCTTTCTTTTTTAAAGTAATATTTTACTGTGTTTTTGGTGAAGGTTTACATAGCAATTTAGGTTCCCATTCAATAATTTCTACACAAGTTGTTCAGTGACATTGATTACATTCTTCACAATGCATGAACATTCTCATCATTTCCATTCTGGTGGTCCCATTGCCGTTAACAGTTTCCCTGCCTCTTTATATTCTTTGTTTTAAAGTAAATGCTGACTGTTTGGTCTCATATCAGTGATTTTTTTTTAGAGGAGCGTAATACTTATGGGTGATATTCTCTTTTCTCTGTTTTCAGCCAATATCCATCTGATATCAACAATGGTATCTCTCATTCCACATCCTCTTCTGAATCTGGCTTGAATTTCTGACACTTCTCATTTGATATACTGCTGCAACCATTTTTTAATTATCTTTAGCAAAATTTTACTTGCGTGTGATAATAATAATACTGTTGGATAATTTCTACATTCCATCAGATCACCTTTCTTTGGAATGGGCACAAAGATGGATCTCTTCTAGTTGGTTGGCCATATAGCTTTCTTGCAAATTTCTTGGCAAACACAAGCTAGAGGTTCCAGGGTTGCATCTGATTGTTAAAACATCTCAGTTGGTATTCTGTCAATTACTAGAGTTTGTCGTCAGCACAGCTTAGACCGCTACTATGTGGTACTAATCTCCACAGGTTCTTCCAGTAGCTGTACCTAAGTCAGTTGTTAAATAATTTGAGTACTTACTTTCTGTACATCACAGAATTTTTTTTTTTTTAATTAACAGGTGAAACAGAGTATCTACCTGAAATAGTTGAACTACACTTGCATTTGTAAGTATAAAACTCTAAAAGAAGTGAAGCAGTCTACAACAACTATGTATTA